AGGATGATTTCTTTGAGGTGAAGGATAATGTTGAAAATAAGTACTTCCCAATGACGATCGAAAAGGTTAAAAGATTGATAAAATTTATGAATTCATTAATATCTATGCACCAAATGTAGAAAAAGAAAGAAAAAAGCTATGGGACAAAATAATAGAGTTGATAGGTGAGAGGGAAATAATGTGGTGCTTGGGAAGGGATTTTAATACTGTAAGAGACGAACAGGAAAGAATTGGCGGAGGTGATATTGTCAGATCAACGAGGGTGTTTGGGAAATTTATTGACGTAATGGCCTTTGTGGATTTACCTCTAATAGGGGATAAATTTACATGGTGTGGGTATCATGAAAGGTGGGTTTTTAGTCAGTTGGATTGATTTTTATTAAATGTGGAATGGCTGGACTATGTATAAGGGATGATACAGGAAAGTCTGATAAGCTCCTTGTCGGATCATAAGCCAATTATCTTGAAGTCAAACAAAGTGGATTGGGGCCCTAAGCCTTTTAAACTATCCAACTATTGGATGGATGAGAAAGGCTTTAAGGAGATGGTTTCAAAGGGATGGGAAAAACAAGATTCGTCAAAATCAAATAGGAAGGATATTTGGAACAAACTTAGGAAAATTAAAGTGGAAATCAAGGACTAGCAGAAGAGATGTGTAGGAAACATACAACTTCAAATTCAGAGTCTAGAAGAGGATCTTCAGAATTTGCATAGACAAGCATAAAAAAAGACACTTGATCAAAAGCTGAAAGAGATGACAGCTAAAAATATATCTAAATTATGGGCTTTATACCGAAAGGAAGAAAGGGAATGGTTACAAATATCACAGGTCACATGGGTGAGTGATGGAGATCAGAACACAAAGTTCTTTCATGCTATTCGTCAAGAAAAAGGATTAACCATATTGAGAGAATACATGTGGGAGGAGAGGTAATAAAGGATCCTAGCAGCATTAAAGAAGGTGTTGCAGATCATTTTAAAAGCTTGAAGTGAGAGAATTTGGTGATTGGGTTGGTGGATATGGAGTGGTAGTTTAATAACCTCAAAACAAAATCAATTCAGATGTTAGAGGTCCCTTTTGGGGAAGATGAAGTGTGAGAGACCATTCAAGGTTACGATGGAAACAAAACACCAGGTCTTGATGGTTTTAAGTTAAATTTCTGTAAACTGCATTGGGGGGTGGTGAAAGCGGATGTCAAGAAATTCATGGAAGATTTATACAAAAGTGGGAAACCAAGGAAAGGGGTCAATGCATCTTTCATTACACTGATTCCGAAAGTTCAAAATCCTTCAAAATTAGGAGAATATAAGAACATAAGTTTGGTGGGCTGCTTGTACAAAATCTTGTCCAAGACTTTAACAAATAGGTTACGAAGGTAATTAGGGAAGTCATTAGAAAAAATCAGTTTGCTTTTGTAAGTGGAAGGCAAATAATGGATTGTGCATTGATAACCAATGAAGTGGTTGATTGGCTGAAAAAAGAAAGGTCTGGAAGGTCGAGACTTAAGGTGGATTTTGAAAAGCATACAATAGTGTTTGCTAAAATTTTTTAAATCTCATAATGCATAAAATGGGGTTTGGGGAGAAATAGAGAAGTTGGATGAGGGAGTGCACAAATGCAACTATGGTTTCTACTTTAGTTAACAGTGTTCCAACGAGATAGTTTGCTATGGAAAAAGGGTTAAGGCAAAGGTGCCCTTTTTCACCCTTTTTATTTAAACATGGTGGTAGAAGCTTTAAGCTGCATGATGGTGAAAGCGGAAAAGCTTAAATTGTGCAAAGGAGTAGAGATAGGAGATAATGGCTTATCAATTTCACATCTTTAGTATGCAAATGGTATGATTCTTTTTTGTGAGACATCTCTCGATAACATAGTTGTTCTTAAAAGAATTCTAAGGTGTTTCCAAAAGGTGTCAGGGCTAAAGATTAATTTTCCAATAAGTCATCTCATTGGTATCGGAGTGGAATCAGAAATTATTGGGAGATGGGCTGAGCAAATTGATTGTCATCTCTCGATCACTATGTACTTGAGGCTACCTCTATAAGTCAACCACAATTCGGTAAAATTCTAGAAACTAGTGATCGATAGAGTGGGAGCAAAGTTCGCAAGATGGAAAGCAAAGACACTTTCAGGAGGGGGTAGAGTAATAGTGTTGAGGTCAGTGTTGGGCAACTTACCTATTTTTAATATGTCCTTGTTTCCAATCCCCATTAAAGTGAAAGATGAACTTGAAAAATCGCAAAGAAATTTTCTTTGGGGAAGATCTGATCAAAAAAGAGGGATTCATTATGTGAAGTGGGAAAAAGTGTGTAATTACAAGAAGTATGGTGGGATAGGGTTGGTTGATCTGGAGGTTAAAAATAGGGCACTCCTTAAAAAGTGGATCAAGAGGTATGGGAAGAAGAGAAACAGTTTATGGAGAGAAGTGCTAGTACAAAAAAATGGCAATGATCCGATTGAGCTTTTGCCAAACTTGAGTGTAAACAAGAGAGTTTTAACATTGTGGAAAAAAATTATCAACCCCCTCTCTCCTTTTAACCATTATTTTTTGCAAATACAAGCTAACTTTGGTTTTGTCTGTGTGAAATGGTGAAAACTTAAGGTTCTGGCAAGACGAATGGATTGAAGGAACGACTTTAGCATACGCGTTTCCAAGAGTGTTTGCATTGGCAAGGAATAGATGTGGCAAAATTATGGACTTCGGCAAGTAGAAGGAGAGTAGGTGGATATGGAACATTCAACTGCGTAGATAGCTTTTCGATTGGGAGATATAGCAATAGCAGCAATTTGAAGATAAAATTAAAGACTTCACTCTAAGCAAGAAGTTTAATGATGAGCTGGTGTGGAAAAAGGAAGAAAGTGGGACTTACACTACAAAATCCTTATGCAAGTATGTTCTCAGCTCCAATACGAGCGTAGACAGGACTTGGAAACAGGTGTGGGCCAACTTGGCACCATTTAGAATTGAAGTGTTTGTGTGACAACGTTGCAAGGTAAAATTAGGGTCAAAGTCGAGTTGGTAAAGAGAGGAGTGAACTTGAATAACATGCTACAATGTGTGTTATGTAGTGCTAAAAAGGAAACTTGTGAACATCTTTTTGCTACGTGCAGAGAATCATGGAAAGCATGGCCAGGATGGTGTAGATCTTAGGGTATGGTGTGGGTTTCTCTTGAGAACATAAAGGATTTATTTGTGGTGTGGAATGGATGGTAGCTTGGAGGTTTGGACATTAGGATATGGAAAATGGGTTACTTCACGGTTGTACAGTCAATTTGGAAAATAAGGAACGAAATTGTTTTCCAAAACAAAGAATGGAACATGGATCAAGTCTTAGAGCTTGCAAAGATCAGAGTGGCTGCTTGGGCCAATGCTAAATGGATGTGGGTGTATTCGTCAGTTTTTTACGTGTACCAACAATCCCCAATTCAAAGTCAGTTTAGTAAAAAAAGTCAATAAAGGAAAGGAAATAAATGGGAAAAGCCAAATCAGGGACAAATGAAGTTCAACATTGATGGCACCGCTAAGAGGATGTTTGTGTCACGGGCCACATGTCACGGGCCACAGCCCAGACCCGCCAAGAGGCCCAAGAGGGTGCCAGCCCTCCAAGACCCATGTAGGGTGCCAGCCCACCAAGACCCATGTAGGGATTTCCCTCCCAAATGAGCTTCTAGAAACCTTAGTTTCCCTCCCAAATGGTTTTGGAGGGAAATCCTTTGGAAGGAAAATTTTGGAGGGAAATGGGTGGGGAACCTTGGCTATAAATAACCCCATCCTCCTTGTGTAAATCATCCAACACACTTGTATCTCAATTCATTCAATACAAGCTTAGTTTTTCTCTCTAGCATTCTCTTCCCATTTTTCCTTCCTCGTTTATGTAAGCTTGCTTGCCGGCTTAAAGCCATTGTGTGGGTGTTGAGTGCTTGTTGGGCGAGTGCTGAAGCACTAAGGCTGACTTGGGTTCTAAGTGCCGAGATAAGGGTTGAGCCCAAGGCCGCACGGAAGGTGGTCTTAAGTATCGCCCCGTGACATTTGGGGCTTGTTGGAATTGGTGGGATCTTGAGGGATTGTAATAGGGAGGCTAAAATTATCTTCTTTAAAGATCTATGAGAGGCTGATTCTAACATAGCAGAGATGATGGCAGTGAATGAAGCACTTTTGATTTTTTCTGCTTCGAGATGGAATGAGAATCATACACTCCTCATTGAGAGTGATTCAACCAATGTCGTGAAGTGGACAAAGCATCCCAATTCAACACCATGGAGAATGAGGAAACTGATTTTGCAAAAGGGGACACTAAAAGTTGAGGTGAAGGACTAGGAGATTAGACATGTTAGAAGAGAGGCAAACCAGAAAGCTGACACCTTAGCAAAAAAGGGTGTGCAACTCTAATCTAAGATTTTGAGAACCTTTATGCAAGCTTTCCTTTTCTTCTCTTGTCAAAGCTGATTTGTGTCTTGTTGGAGTTAGCCTAACCGAATGAAGAACAGATGAACGATGGAGTGGTAGAATTCAACTTGAGTGTTAAAGTAAGGTGAATTTAGTTAGTGAATAAGATTGTTGTGCTCAAAGGGAATACAAAGTTCCCTTGGGGCGTCCTCTGTTGTTTAGGATGACTAGGTTTCTTGTATGTCTCGTTTCTTCTCACTTGAATCCTTGACTGCCTTGAAGCGTTTTTTGCTTGGTTGCTAGGAGACTGATGTACATATTGTGGATTTTGAGTCCTTCTCCTATATGTTTTTTGTTTGTTCACAGGATTGAGGTCTCTTAGGAGGATTATGTCCTTGTTTGGGGTTCTGTTGTTCACCTTTTTCTTTTGATGTTGGGATGAAGAATGTTGTGAATCTCGGTTCCAAGGGATATTGGGCTGTGTCAGTTTCTCCCAATATACTCTTTCCTTGGCATGTTCTGAATCCCCTCTCTTTTAATGAAACGCTTTATGACTTCCAAAAGAAAAAAGAATTTGTAGCTTCCAATTTTGGAAAGAAAGGGTAGAAGAAAGTTATGAGGTACAAGGCTCAAGAATGTTACATTTCTAAGAATGCGGAGCTCCATTTAAATACGATGTTAAAAGTAGTAGTAGACAATCCTAGTCAAACTGAAGATGCTTCCAGCTGCACCTTTCCTGTTGACTGGTACAGATGTGCAGTAAAAATTTGTTCTATATTAGGGCCTTGACAAATTTTCCAGAAAGATATGGATATATGAATGAAGTTTAAAGCAGTAAACCAGCCTCTGCCATTATAATCCATGGGATTCCTTCCCGCCTAATTGGTATTGACCCCACATGCAGCTGAAAGAGAATCAAATAGTTGAACTTTATATATTAATAAGCCAAATACAAGTCACTAGTTAAAAAATTAAAGAAAAATGTCCAACATATCAGGCAGAGAGGAAAAAACAAAGCATCTGAGATTCTGAGTCTTGAGTTTGCCAGTTGGAGTACATTGTTCAATGATTTTGGACATCATATTAAAGGAGATGATATGTGATAAAACCCTTTTTTGGAACATAAGTGATTGGTGATAATTTGAAGACTACTTGTTTTACTCATCCAGTGCTTAAGTTAGTAGTTTCGGTTCTTGTTTCACTATATAATCCCTGGCATGCATACATGGCTTACCTATTGTGTTGAAGTTCAGAAACTAATTAAACAAATGGATGTATACAAACTTGTTAGTTCTACAAAGTTACACTGGTTTGAATTCATCTCCTCAAATGCAATGTAATTAGAACAACAAAATACCCAATATGCTAATGAGTGCCTAAGCATGAGCCCCCTCATTCCGCCAGTGATAGTCATGGATGCTTGTTGTAACAGAAGTTTTAACAAATGATTATATGCAAAAGAACTGCCAAGCAAGAGCATATGTAGCTCAGAACTCTACGGTGTTTTGCACACATGTAAACTTAAAAACAGCATAGCGCCCTAGCAACAACCAATGTACCGTTTCGTAATTTTAGTTTCATGTAATGTACCATAGCCATTATAAGACCATAATTTACCTGCTGAGATAAAAGTAATACCTGAGTAATACCAAAGCAATAATAATCCGAATTTAACACTAAAAATGCAAAATTAACTACTAGTTTCAAACCTGAACTCGAACCCCACCTAAACTCAAAACGACCCGAGTCCAAATCTATATGAATTCAAAACAACCCAAGCCTGTTCTTATCCAAACCAAAAATGACCTGATCTGAATCTGATGTTTCCCACCTTTAACAATAATCCATAGTTATCTGGAAATAATAGTTTCATGGCATTTTAGAATGTTACAGGCTCAATGTCTAACAACAGAACCTAAGCCAATCCAAAGAGTACTTTGCCTCCTCAATCGTTATAGGTGGATACTCACTGAAACATCCAACAGAATCTTAAATCATACTCACCAGCCATCTGAGAGACTTTAGAATGAAGAATAGAACTAGGAGTTGAAGTACACTTGGAAAAGTTTCTGTAGATAAAATCATTCCAAAATTGTGCAGACTTCAAATTGCATAACAAGTGTGGTTTCCTATTGGAAGAAGCAGCAGGTACCGATAGAGGCAAGTGCACCAACTGATCAAAGGAACCACTAAGATACATCATAGAAATGCCTATAACACCATCATCTGTAGAATCAACTGTGGTAAGAGCATGATGCAGCAAGGCTATGTACCATTCTTTGGTGTTATCTATGCAATATAAGACATTCATCATATGATTAACCGTATCCAATCTGAAAAGCAAATTTTCAACAACCAAACAATCTGCTATCACCTAGCTAAATCCCTATAATAGCCTTTCAACATCAAGCAATCACAGACCTTTCAACACCTAAAAATATGATATCATGAATTGAAAGGAGGCAAGGACAATAATCACTTAGGTATAAGAAGCAGAAGCAATGATCTGGTCAGAGGTCCAAACATAATTCCTATGTGCTATCTTTGCTAGGGACAGTAAGCTATCTAATTCTAGATGTTTTTAAATATCTTTGCAACTCAACTTTCCAAGATTTAGTGGCCACAAGGCTCAAGAATAATAAATATGGATGAAAGAAGCTCAGCTGAGGTCATTAATACATGAAGTCTGATTGAACACCATTGACTACTAAGTGTCTATTGAGACATAAGACAATACCTCATTATTTTCTAGTTTTAAGCAGAAATCAAGTTTGGAGTCTTCTTGGCAGAAAAAGTGGACCATGTGACATTAAAGGAATAGCGGATGATGAAAACCAAAGGAGCCGAAACTTTCACAAATACTATTTCAAGCCATTCAACAACATAGAACAACTTTAAAACCCACATAGTCTTCAAGAGATTGAGTGGTTAGAAAAGGTTTTACAGTTAGCACTCAATAGTCTTGTTGAAGCTTACCTATTTCCAACCAAGGAGATCTGTTCTCTTCCAACTTACTAATGCGCTTATGATTAATCCAATACTTTCAAGTAAAAAGTGAGAACTCCACAGCAAAGAGAGCAAATAAAATTCAGAATAGTTTTTTCTCTTGCTCCTGTGTCAATTTAATATCAGCAGCAAAAAGAAAAATAACAGAGACCATGTTGAAATAGGATACCAACAACCAGATACTACTATTTGCTCAAGTAGAGGTTCCTAAAATGCAATTAACATTCTTTAAGTTTGATGCATAAGATTCCATGTTTAGTTGTCCCATTGGTTGGATACATCACCATAATCACTCTCTGAAAAGTTGAACCATGATAGATGCTTATATAAGAACTTTACAAGACTCACAAAAAAGACTATAGCAAGAACATAATAGAGCAAAAATAAAATTCATAGAAGAAGTAGATCAGTGAAAATACAAAAAAAAGACAAGTTGTATGGAACAAATGCAATTCAGCAGCTTGGTGTAAATTTGCTGTTAAAATACGCACATTTTCACTTTGTTGCCAAAATCTGCCTACCTGTGTCGATGCATTACAAGCCAATTGGAAAACAGCTTTTCCAGGATCATAAAGCTCCCACTTTCCATATCTGCTGAACCCTAAACTATAAACTGGTTATTAGCAAGTACAATTTCTTCCAAAACAGAACAAAGCAGAAAAAGACCACTAGACCAGTAATACAAAAGAAGAAATCTGACAGAAGCTACACCTAACTATGTAGATTCTTATTAAGCTGAAAATTAACCATGTAGAATTTAGTCTTAAGAAAGAATGCTAAAAGAGAACCAACTGATCAGGAGTCACATTTCAAAAGCATAGCATCAATGTGCTGTTTCAGACAAATTTCTGTTAAAACCAAGAATGTAATTCACAGAGCGAGAAACATGATCGGCTGTCAACAAAGCAGTTTAATCGCTAAATATACTTAGCAAAGTGTTACCTATGGAGCAGAAAGACCCAAGCGCTCCATGATTGCAGAGAAAATAGCTGATGACTATATCGCTGCAAAAAATCATGACAAAATGGAACTGACATAGAAAACTGACATCAGTTAGTAATTTTGCTTTGCAGGGAAAAGTTAGAAGTTGTGCTATACTGTTTCTATGGAAACAACAGCTATATCGGATGATGCAATGCCACAGAAAACTTGAAGCTGAAAACATGCAACATACCATTAGCACATCATTATCTGCCCTCTGCCAGTGCCCAGGTGGTTAGTGTCACAGAATAATCATTGTCATTATCTCATTCAGAAAGAATTACACAGAAAAGAAAACTGCTATAGTAGTTCTTTTCCACCATCATAATGTAAAGTAGCAATCAACAATATAGTCTACTCCTTTCCCTAGATTCAATTTTTCTTTTAATAATATTGTCAGCAGCAAAGGTTTTTCTATAGCCTTTAGGGTATTCCATACATGGTAAAGCAGCATATTATCTTTTATCAACTGAAAGGCATGCTGTTAGTCATGGCTAAAACATAGAAACCAGTGGTTATCTTCAAAGATTGTAATCAAGAAAGGGCAAGAACAGTGCATTCTGGGCAGCAAAACCAAGATTAAAGAATAATGGCGTGAACAGTGCATTCTGTGAGTGAAGAAAGCTTTGCACTAAAACTTTTTAACTGTGATTTCCTTTTAATGGAGAGAATAATGGCGTAGTAACATACACATCGTAACAGCTGTCTAAAGTTGTAAGAGAAAAAGATTTTGGCAGGCATGTGGAGGAAAGATGATAGAATAAATAACAGCTAAGTGGAGTTAGCAGTGTAGATATCTTTATTGGAAGCTGGAACAGTAGCCTCCTTGGGAGTTTCCTCTTCAGTCTTCTTGTCGTCTTTTACAGCTAGCATGACTAGAAGCACCAGCAGTGGATAACTCACAGTGGTGAGCGACCAATTTACAATCAACTGGGAAAGCAATGGAACCTTGTGCGTATCAACTTGCCAAGCAACCGCTGCTCCTGCGCTTTGCACTCCCTTATAAAATCCACTATATCTGAAACATTATTATAGACATAAATATTGGTCAATTGATCCAAAAAATAAACCAAAACAAAGAAGAGGAAGGTGATCTTTTAAAGAAGAAAGAACAAGAGGAAGAATGCATTACCTGCTAAGGGTCTGTGAATCATCAGCCAAGGCTCCTATGACCCAATAAACCATGCTTTGAAACATGGCATCCAGCAATCCGTAGCTGAAGTACAAAACAAAGGGACCGGCAAAAGCAGATTCCTTGAAATCCAACCTTGTAGGTGGATGATCATGGGAGTAAGGGAGTTGATTGGCAAGACCACCACCCCAGATTGCACTGCCAAGCAAAGCAACAACACCAATCCCAACAAAACCCCTCATCCTCCTACTCTGGAAACTAAAATCCAATATGTAACCAATCCCAATAGAGCCCAACATCTGGGCCCCCCAATAGAACACGTTGTTTAACCCTCTGGTTCTCAGATTAAAAAGTAGGCCATTGACATTATTGAACTGATAGCTGTAAAAGAAATTGCTGGCCCAAGCAGCAGGGACAATAAGGAGCATTTTCCAATTGAAAAACAATTTGAGAATCTCTGCTCCCTCTGTGGAGACACTGGAGTACTTAACATTGGTGCAACGTGTACCATCATCGCGAACAACTTTGTTGGGTGGCAAAATGGCAAAAGAAAGAAGAGTTCCAGCCGACATGAAGCACATGAAGCCAATATAAGTTGCATCATTTACAGAAGCCGCCTCGTTTCTGTGGTAATTCAGAATAAAAGGAAGAAGGCCACCAATAACTCCACCCATGTTGAAAATGCTCCAAAACAAGGAAATGTAAGTGCCCTTTCGATTCGGTGGAGGATAAGAAGTCATAATAGCGCCTTCACCAGCCCAAAGAAGGCCAGCGCCAACGCCAAGAAGGCCACCCGCCACAATTGCAAAAGCCTGGTGTTTATGATGGTTGTAGTAGAGGAAAGAGCCGGCGTAAAGGACATAAGTGCTGCAGCCAGCGGCAAGGGTGAGATGGGGTCCGAGGACGTTGTAAATGCCGCCGCCCAGGATGCCAAAAACAGCGAAAGCGCTGTAAAGGGCAGTGTTGGCGTTGTTGGCAGCGGTCGGATCGACTTGCCCTCCTCCTCCCATCCCGGAAAGGGCGTTGAACATTCCGGGGCAGCAGAAACATACCAGGCCTATCAGGGAGACTTGGACAAGTGGCGAGTTGTATCTGAATTTCGATTTTGTGGACAATTGGGTGCCTGATTCTTCATCTGCAACCCCACCTTGGAAACCCATTTTTGTTAAAGGATTTGGAAAGGCCAAAAAGAGGGAATGGAATGGAATGTTGAGGAAATTCTGGGATCTGGAATCAGGACAGTATGATCCACTTTTATACTTGCTACCTTAACGGAGCAGCTACCAGGGAAGTATTTCACTGGGAGTTAAACACGGCACTAGCCCAACTAGTATTCTTTCCCATACAGGCTAACCAACAAAATCCTGGCCAATTGTTTAAGAAAATGGTTTTTCTTTCCTTTTTCTTTTTCCTGAATATTAGAATATGAATCTATCCTCACACCTTAAGTCTTTGTGGCTTAACGACGTTAACATACGAACAAAGTCAAAATAATAATTGGAGTATTATCATCCTTTTGAATATTATTCCAACCTCATGTACGATGGACACAGCGGACGCCAACTGGTGGTGTAAATAAATAATTCAGATTCTGAATGATTCCGAAGATCATTTTCACATGTTACCGTAGCCCATCAGTCAAAATTCTCGGTAAGCATGCCAGGCCAAATGTCCCAACGATTTGACTAATAACCACGAGTCTGTACTTCAAATCATGAATATGTGGAGTAATTGATTGATAATATTGTATATATGAAATGAAATTATTTAAGATTATTATTTTATTTGTGAAAAGTAATCTTTCAAATGGGTAAGCAATATGGAAAGCGACTCGATAAAGGCAATCTTGGGACTAAAAACAAAACCTTGTTGACATTTCATGTCCCAAATTTTGGTCTTTGCCAACACTCGTCCAATTACCGGGTAGCCGGCTGCCGGCTTCTACCCAAGTTTAGGTAGATGATCATATTTTGATCCTAGGAATTAATTAAAAGTCCGGCGAGGTGACTCCAGAAATGAATAGCAGAGATGTACATAAGTCAACGGTTGTCCATCCAAGTTTGAATAATACTGCTTGCCCATTGCCGGCTTTCTTTCTATGGCAGAAACCAAGGAAAAGGGTTGCTAAGATAAAGACAAGAAGCCATGCGGGCACAAGGAGAGACAAACACATGTCGTGATCTGAAACCCAGGAGTAAAATAAAAAAAAACTTTCCCAGGTCAACCTGCCCTACCCTTGCTTTGACTGCAACCAACCTCGCTAGATTTTGTAAGCTGAGCTCATTTTCTGCCTTAATAACTCAACTTACACCTGGCGCTGCATGCCAGTGCTGGATAAGGCACCGGCAGGCCATATCCTACCACCCTGGTTAGGGCGGATCCACATAGAGTGAAGTGGTGTAAGAAGTCTTAAAAACCTTTACTAATTATGTTATTTATGTTAGAGTTTTATATAGTTAATAAGACTAATCAATTTATTAAAAATTTTTATAATTTTGTAAAGAATAAAGTCAAAATCTTCAAATCGAATTAAATTTATTTATGACATCACTCAAAAAAATTATTAAATCGCCCCTAACCGTAGCTCGAATCATGTCTTAAAAAATCAGAGCAAGAAAGAAGAGGAAATAAATGAATTTTCCTTAATTTTCCAAGTCATTTTCCACTCCTGCAAACAAAAAAAAAACCATTAATTTCAATGTTGGCAATTCTTAGTATTATTTGGCTTATAAATTTGTCTAATTAAATTATTAAAACGAATTTTCTTTATTCTCTAAGGGTCTTTAATTAAATTGAGATTAAAGTCAAATAAATTGATTACATACCAAAAAAAAATGAAAGCTATTTCAAGATATGAAACCTTAATTTTTAATTCAATAATAATAATTGTTATTCAAAATATAATCTAAGGATCTCTTTACATGCAGTGGGTTCAAATACAAATCATTTCATACTAGATATTTTATTTGGAAATTTTAATTTTATTTTAATATTTTAGTTTTTTAAGTTAATTAAGAAACCTTATTTACCCACTAATTATAATAATGTTCAACTAACCTCTGTCGAGAAAAAAATTTTCAATGTGATCTCTTTCATTATAATATTTACTAATTGGTTCTTTCATCACAACATATTTCTCATAGGTTTTATGGATAAATCATTTTCATGATTACATCCAACCCATATAATACAAATTCTTAATTTCCATTCTTGCTAAACTTTAAAAAAATATTTTTTTTCAAAAATATTTATATAATATAATATTAATATAAATAATATGATTTTTAAAAAGACACTGGCCTGATTTTGAAAATCGCTTGAATATGTTTTCTTAATAAAGAATCATGAATCATTTTTTAAATATCTAATATAATTTATTTAGCTTGTACATAAGTTAGACCTGTCAAAATAGGTTTGACCCATCGGGTAAGCTCATTTTTTATTAAATATGAAGTTGGTTGGGTTGAAAAATTTTAGCCTATATTTGAACAGGGCTTGTATGAGCCAGCCCACCAAATCAGTGGGTTGATGTGGGCTAGGGCAAGGCCAACCCTATGGACCAAAAAATAATAATTTTAATTAATTAAATAATTTTATATATTTAATTATGTAAAATTAATAATTTAGTTACTAATAGTATTGTTTATTTTATATATTTCAATGTCTTTAATCTTCACTTGTCAAATTAAAAATTTTAATTTAGATTAAAACTTATTATCTCTTTTTCTTTTATGATAATGAATATTAAATGATAAATTGATAATAATTCAGACCTTGAAACATCATTGCTGTCTAAACAAAATTTAAATGTTTTACTTAAGAATGAAAATTGAGGAAGATATAAATGAGTCTTGAATTTTTTATGATTTGGCTATATACTTATGTTTATGAGATAGTAGTTTGTATTAAAGATTTAAACTTTATTATGTAATTTTTTTATATATATATTTGGTGTAATTTGTTTATTTGTAACATGTTTTTATTATTCAATTTAAGAATTAAATCATAAAACACTTTTATTAATAAAAAATTTATCGGGTAGAATTATAAAAATTAATTTTTTTTTGAAAAAAAAATAAGCTGGCCCAACCCAACCCATGAGCTAACAAAGGGTAGGTTGGGTTGAGGTTTTGATGGCTCATATAAAACACAAAGCTAGCCCGACCCAACTCATTTTTTTCAACCCACAAGGGCTAGCGTCGGGTTGGGCCGGGTCAACCCATATTGACAAATCTATACATAACCCAATATACGAGTGTATAGCAATTAAATTCAGCATCATTTGTTAACAACATCATATTAATAGGAAATGAAATATATCAACCTCTCAAGTTTATAGATAATTAATAAATTGTAATAAAGTTCCCCTTTAACATTTATAGTGATAAGTTTATATGGTGCTCTTTAATTAGATCTTGGTCAATTGAATAAAAAAAGTTAGATCTTAGTCCATGTATGTTTCTCATAAACTAAAGAACTATAACTCCTCACTTACTAGCTTTTCAACTCTTAACTAAATTTTTCTACAATGTCACCAATTCATTTATGATCATATCATATATGTCATAAATAAAGAAAATTTCATTAAAATATAAATGTGAAACAACAATTAATGTAACAGTTTATTTATCTAATAAATAAATCATAAAATTGAGCTTAAGGGCATATGTCTAACAATCTCCCACTCGCTTTTAAAACCAATCATGCATATATTTCACACCATTAATTCTAGGTGTTTTGAAATACTTTTTGAGACAAATGCTAGTAAATAAATCTACCACATTTTTGACAATCTTAACTATGGCATTCCCTTTATATATAGCATCATGAATTAAGTGGAATTTATGCTCTTTATGCTTTGTTTTTGGTGAGCTCTTGGCTCTGCTACATCTACTACAACTAAACTATGATCACAATAAAGAGTAATGGAAGAATCTATAAAGGTAACAACGTCACACTCCTATTTGAATTTATGAATCCATACAGTTTCCTTTATGGCTTCACTTGCAACGACATACTCTACTTCAGTAGAGAAATCCCCCACAGTGTTCTTTTGCAACTTCTTCAACTTATTGCTCCTTTGGCCAAAATAAAAACTAACCTACATATTGATTTTCTATCATCCCCATTTGATTGATAGTCTAAATTTATATAACTTGTTACAACTAAATCTTCTCCATCAAACACTAACAATAAGCGTTAGTTCAATTTACATATTTTTATATGTGTTCCACTGCTGACTAATGTTCACTATCCGTGTCAAGACATTAGCTCAACGTTGTGCGATCTTGAACTCTGAAATATGTCACTTACTGAGCTCAAGTCAACCACCAAAACTAATCAAGAACTCAAAGTTTCTTGAAGTATCACAAAAGCAACGAAATAAGAGAAAAATGAATAAAAAAGAGCTTGAGAGGAAAGAGTATTAATTCTTAAACTAGGTGTGTTTTAAGAAGAGAAAAGGGTATTTATAGGCTTGATAGCCTCTTATCTAGCTATCTACAATTTGAATTCAGATTAAATGACAAGACTAAGATATTCAAATTTGAATGGCTATCCTATTTGCAACATTCAAATTTGAATATTAGTCATATCTATATTCAAATACATCAAGACTCTTTTTAAGAGTACACAAATACTTTTACCCTTAGTATGCACGCTAAGCCTCTTGTTTAAACTACTAGCATATCTAACCTACTTGGTGGGCCTATGTTGGTCTGAACTTTTGGATCATGACATCCTCCCTCACTCAATCTAATAACGCCCTCATTGCTAAAAGATGGACGTCTTTGTCTAGTGCATTGTTGCATCATGGTCATCCTCTCAACCGTCTTTGCTCAAACAACCTTGCTCTATGCACTCTTGGCTTGGGCTTCTTTGCCCTGCACATTGGTTCTGCACGCTATTACCGTGGACACCCTTACCTCGCACACTATCCTGTCATGTGAAGACCCCTCAAGCATTTACTAACTTGGCACTCTTGCCTTGCACACATTTCTTTGGAATGCGTTGTCTCTTGGAGCATTTGTTATGAACAAATTCGCTATTGCTTTGGCTCTTTGGTCTCATGAGTGCTTAGCTAGTCTCAACAGTTCCTTAATTATGTCTTAGCATCTTGGCCTTTTTAGCTCTCGTTTATATTAGCCTTGTCGCTATTGATCTTGGTCTCTCTCTAACCATACAATATTTTACTATTGCTTATGGCTCCCCTTAAGGTAACACAATATTACCTAATCTCAATACACTCCTAAGCTCCTCTGGCCACGAATGGTGGCACTACTTGCCATTGCATTTACCTTTCTGTCGAACTACATAGATAGTTTGATGGGCTTCTTTTTCATTATGCAACACTAGGCTTCCCACGTGTGATCACTCACCATGCCCTTTTACACATTTGTTGCCACTCTCATTACTTAGATCCTCCTTTTCTATTAGGATAGCCATGAGCCTATTGCATGTAAGGCAACCCTCATTTAGTGTGATTTGTCATGTTTCGCACCATTACCTTTTTCATTAAGTCAAAATGAGTAGAACATGAGCAAACTCTCAACCAACGCTATGACTTGCATGAAGTTTTACACACCTCTATGCTAAAGCTTTTGCATCACTCGTAGCTTCAAGTCATCCATAAACGCATATAACGCCTCTTTCTCATTGAGATCGCTAATGTGCAATAACAATTCAGAAAATTTTTTCTCATATTCCCACACCTCACCTCGTTGGGTAAGCCTATTAAGTTTCACTCAAGCCTTATATGCTCAACATACTTAAGATAAAATTGCTTCTAGAGCTCCTTTTGGAACTTCGCCCATATGCTAATGGTTGTTCCCTTAAGCTTCACATTGCACCTTTTCCTGCATCACAATAAGACTATGTCCACGAAGTACATAGCAGCTGAATTAATTCATAAAGCATCCTCTTTGATGCCTATGACTCAAAAATATTGCTCCAGGGTCCACAAGAAATTGTCGACATCCTTGACCTCCCTCTAATCTTGAAATTTAGGCTTAAGCACAAAATCAAATACAAACCTGAAAATTTTAAATATATTATTGCATTATCCAAAACCCTAGTTTAATTACCAACTATAGAAAAATCTATGGCAGAGAGTTCCCTGTTATTACATAGTCCAAAACCCAATAGATCTCTGCATTGAAGGACAAAAAAAAAAGGAAAAGAGCATTCTGAATGGTTTTTTTTTTGAAAGCTTAATATGCTTCCATTTATGCAAATTTTAAGAGGTAAAATTCCTTATGTAGGGAGTTGGATTTGCTAATCCCAACATGCAACAGTGCCCCGAAATGCTTCAAAAGCAAATGCTTCAAAAGCAAATGCTCTAGCGTTAACTAGGAACACAAAATTCAGAAGCTACATAAGACAACAGATACATAAGGCCGTACAACCCATGCGATTTAATTATGTTGAAGCTTGAGCCCGATGTAATTAGTCGAAAGTCTTATCCGCAGGGCCATCTCATGCATGGAGAACCCGGCCTTACCATCTGATCAGAGCCACCTCAAACTGAGAACTTTGATAGAATATTACACGACTAAAAAGGACATAGTGACCGCATCATACATAAGAAACCAAAAAAGGAATCATGTCCAGAATACATAGAGATACCACATCACTATTTTCAAACATATAACCAACTTCCCACTCATCCTATCAGTCACACTGATTTTCTGGGAGAAACATTTTCTTTGCACCCATTACAAACACAAACTCCGGAAAGGGAAAGACTCTTACTTACATGCAAAGCAAACACAAGCTTGAATCATATACCGTCGTACATTATTACCAAACGCTTTTTATAGATTTTGCCTCTTCACATGTGCACCTCTACTTCCTCCTCCTCATCCTCCTCATCCTCATACTCACCTTCCTCATCAGCAGTGGCATCCTGGTATTGTTGATACTCCGACACAAGGTCATTCATGTTGCTCTCCGCCTCCGTGAACTCCATCTCATCCATACCTTCACCAGTATACCAATGCAAGAAAGCCTTCCTCCTGAACATAGCAGTGAATTGTTCACTAACTCTCCTGAACATTTCCTGAATAGAGGTCGAGTTTCCAATAAAGGTTGATGCCATGGAGAGCCCTTTAGGTGGAATGTCACACACACTGGATTTCACATTGTTTGGGATCCACTCCACAAAGTAGGAAGAATTCTTGTTTTGCACATTGATCATTTGCTCATCCACTTCCTTGGTGCTCATCTTGCCTCTGAACATGGCCGATGCAGTGAGGTAGCGACCATGCCTTGGGTCAGCAGCACACATCATGTTCTTTGCATCCCACATTTGTTGGGTCAACTCAGGGACAGTCAGAGCACGATACTGCTGGGACCCGCGGGAGGTCAGAGGAGCAAACCCAACCATGAAAAAGTGAAGACGAGGGAAGGGAATGAGGTTCACTGCAAGCTTTCGGAGGTCAGAGTTGAGTTGACCAGGGAACCTGAGACAGCAAGTGACTCCACTCATGGTTGCAGAGATCAAGTGGTTCAAATCACCAACTGCAACATGTATTAATACAAATGAGTAAATGATTAGAGCACTAGCCAGATAGCAAGACTGATCAAAACATTCAACTATTTCCCTCCATATGTTCCCCCAAAAAAAGAAAAGTCTGTGTTCAAGGAATCTGTAACCCCTTCAAGAAAGTTATTGATATAGCAAAAAAAAGAATAACTTTTAGCTACTGTATTCTTTTAGCAGAACTTAATGTGGGAACATGAATGCATGCATGCATGATTGTGTTTGTGCTGTTTTTTGGAAAGGATATTTGATTTTCATTAGGACTTTAGCTACACAAAAAGGATAACTAGCTCTACCCCTATTTGAACATACAGCATCTAAATTAAAATCTCCAAATAAATCATTGGATTGCGACTTGAAATTATATGTACAGCGCACACAGTTATGGGGCCCCATAATATTACTCAGATTTTATTTGAAACGCTAACCCAATATTGTGTGTGTGCACAAAAAAATAAAACCTAAAGTCAAAAGATACTTCAGCAACAAAGATATAAATAATATCAAAGGACCTTAAGAACAGTAAGTATAAGAAATTAAAAAAAAAACATTTTGCATGATAAAATTACTTTTCCATTTAACCGCTACCCATCCATTATCCATTACAGCACTCCTCATCGATAATAGTTGTTGACCCAATTCAACCCCAAAATTTCAAGGCACCAAAGCTCTTCAGCTTGGGGGCAACGAACATTATGATCTACCCACTACTAGTCAAGAATTGCCATGAAAAAAGCATCACACCAAACAGAAACTGAAAACACAGAAAACATATTTTTGTAGTCTCATATGTACTTACAGCTAGGAGTGGTCAATTTAAGAGTCCTGAAGCAGATATCATACAAAGCCTCATTATCAAGAACCATGCACTCATCAGCATTCTCAACAAGCTGATGAACAGAAAGGGTAGCATTGTATGGCTCCACAACTGTATCTGAAACCTTTGGTGACGGGAACACGGAGAATGTGAGCATCATCCTGTCCGGGTACTCCTCTCTAATCTTTGAGATCAGCAAGGTTCCCATCCCAGACCCAGTTCCTCCACCCAATGAGTGGCACACCTGGAAACCTGCAATGGCAGATTAGTTAAGCTTCCACCAATAAAGATAGCAACAAATAACTCCAAGAAACATGTTTGGCAACTACAACTAAAAAGATATCAGCTTCTACCAGTCAGAACCTAAAAGAAACAACTTCCATACCTTGCAGACAGTCACAGTTCTCAGCCTCCTTTCTCACAACATCAAGAACTGCATCAATAAGCTCAGCTCCCTCAGTATAATGGCCCTTAGCCCAGTTGTTTCCAGCACCAGATTGTCCAAAAACAAAGTTATCCGGCCTGAAAATCTGGCCATAAGGACCAGTTCGGACACTGTCCATGGTACCAGGCTCCAAGTCCATGAGCACAGCACGCGGAACAAAGCGGCCACAGGAAGCCTCATTATAGTATACATTGACACGCTCCAACTGCAGATCTGAGGAACCGATGTACCTTCCAGTTGGATCTATGCCATGCTCATCGCAAACAACCTCCCAAAACTTGGAACCAATCTGGTTCCCACATTGTCCACCTTGAACATGAAGGATCTCTCTCATTTTTTCCCTAATTTACAACAATTGAGTTAAAATGAAATTCCAAAATCATAAGACGAAATATTTTGATAAATCTATAACAATATATAACAGTATATATTTTGAAAAAAGTACCTGTCATGACAGCAATTGCATATTTAAAGATTATTTTACAAATTCTGTTCATGTCTTTTACCCTGTTTGCTGTAACTGTGATTTATCATTGTTATTACCTGATATTATATTCTTCTTTATGCAGATGATTACTTCACCCTTCCCAGCATGATGGATAACCTTTTTTCAGACTTTTTGTATTGATATGTGATTTTCAGTAGTTCATTTCTCCTTATCCGAGTTTATTTTCATGCTATTATTCTTAGTAACAAATGACACTTCAATTGTGATTGTTAACGAATACAAGACTTAGTACATAATACACATGTTGCAACTTTAAATGATAATTTCAAAAGATTCACTACATTTTTTCTCGAATGCAGTTTTATTTATGAACTTAACTTCCATTAACAATTACTTCAGGAGCCATTGGTTATCAGCAGCTCATTAAAAATGCAACCGTTACTAGATTACTAGATGCTAATCTGTTGAAAATTCAAGCAAGTAGAGAGAGAAAAAAAATCCTTCTGCTTACAGTACATGATCATTGATGATTACAAATATTTCCATGTTTTATTGTTTTTGCTTACTTATTAACGCTGTTTGATAGTACAAATAGCATTTTTATCAATTAATATGAACCAAAATATCTTCAACTGTACGTTCTCCCTTAGTAGCTTACATTTAAACCATTATAATTCTGTTTGCATAAAAAAAAAATTAGCTTTTTCCTTTCTATTAACACATCTTTTCAATATTTACAAAATGCTGAATATTCACTTCTGTATTTGCTCAGTTATGCTAAGTTGTTCTTCGTGTCTTCCTTCATTATTCATTTTGCTGTATTCTCCACTTATATCAAAACTGTTCTCATTACCCTTGGATGACAAAGTTAAGCTTTCTCTTCACTTTACATGATTCTTGAATCTTTATATTATATTAACCTATTCTATTTTGTTAACTTATCATTACCGTTAAAACTTGCTTACTCATTCGGTCTGTCCATTCCTTTTCAATGCTGATTTCCATTATCTGTTTGATCTTCTGTAAATACAGAATCCTGTACATTCATTATTTTCGTACACTAATTTATAAGCTTTTCCTGTTTTGATTCTGTTTCATGCAGGCAAAATCCTAGTTATGATAAACTGAATGCATATTTTAAGCTGTAAAAAATAGACATATCAAAGAGATTCAAGATGTAATATCCAAGGGATCAAAATACAGAGAGGCAATGCAGATTCGAACAAAAAAATTAGTTTTCGAATAGAAAACGATAATAATTAGAGCACAGGTTCAGTGAAAACATGTAGAAAAGCGAGTGCAAATCCAGATCTAAGCAAATGCCAGAACAAATCTATCTACCACAAACGAAATGCAGAGACAAGAACGAGAAGCGAAAGCTTTAAACCGAAAATGCCATAAAAACAGTGAAGAAACTTCAGATCTACTTAATTGAGTTCAACAAGAAGTAAGAGAGTAAGCATTACCTGTGTTAGAATTCCGAAATTTGGTAGAATTTGCAGAAATTTTTGAGAGATTGGTGAGGAGACGAGAGGAAAGGATGAGAGTGTTATATATGGGAAGTGAAGGGGGAGGAGTGGGATCGTAAGGTGAGCGGTTGTTCCCTCTTTTCTTAGCGATAGCCGTTGGATGCCGTTCGATGGAGATACCGGACGGTGCAGATTGAAGAAGTTTGTTTGTTTTAAATATTTGTAAAATGTCTTGCGACAAAAATACCCTTTTGGGAAGTGACTGGATTGTCCTCGCACTCCACCCCAAATTAAAATGTCTGAGACGTATTTGACTCTTGTACTTTTTTTACCAATTCCAAATCACCTCACATTCGCCACGTGGTAGTCAAACGTTCAGTTCGACAGAGTTGTCCTAAAATTAACATCAGGAGCCACTCATATTGAGTCAATGTTATAAGTAAGCTTTGAACCGTGGATTAGCACATGGCTTTTTATTTATTTATTTCTCATTAAATTATTATATTAGTTTAGTTTGTTAGTGAATAAATCATATATTGAAAATAAAGAGAAAGGAGAGACTTTCATGTGCAAAAATTTTATTTACTATTTTATATAAAAAAATTTTGTTAATTGATCTTAATTATTTATAATATCATAGTAAAAACAATTATAGGTGATATAATCTGTATGAAACTCTCACTTTACCTTTTAATAATGTAGAAAATTGTATTTTGTCCAATATTTTCTACTGATTTTTTTTAATTTTTGTTAGCAAACATATTTCCTTTTTATTTATTTTTACTTAAAAACTTATAATTTCATATCTAAAGAAAGTTAAGTTTTTTATATTTTATTCATTAAAATTAACATAAATTTATTAAATAGTTTTTCACATTATACAACACTTTTACATTAAATTTATCAAGCCCCATCTTAACTTCTCTTTACCATACTTTTTAAATAATTCTACTGAATGATATTATCTATAAAAGCTTCATCCAAATCGAACAAGCTCTAAATTATAATATAAGATAATTCATTTAAATTATGTGGCTTAATCGCCTATAATAAGTTAAAATATACAACTAATAAATTTTATGATTATTTTATTCAAATTTATAATTTTTTAATTTAAAATTTAATATATTTTTAATTGTAAATAGTTATAAGAATAAATATTTTAGTGTATCAACTCCATCGACTTGATTACAAATAGTATTAACAGTGAAATTATGTTAAAATTTTTTCCAATAACATTAACAATTATTTTAAATTGAAATCTTTTTACCTATTTATTAAGTTTAAAAATCCTATCATTAATATATAAAATAATAATTTATAAAAACTAGATTGACAAAACTACGTTAACTTTTTAGGTGTCATTTGATATGGGGTCATCATCTCAAAATCCAAGATGATTTGTAGTTGATAATTAGACCACTGTGTTTGATACAAATTCGATAACTTATGAGATGGTGATCGAAGATCATTAAGAATGATTAGATCACTGCTTTGGAGGGTGATCTAATTCTCAGCCAAGAGGGTTTAATTTTTTTTTTTCACCAAGGCAAAGTGATTTGTAAAGTTAATTACGAACAATATTACCCTTTTAATATATGAATAAAAAGCTTGCTTTTTATCACAAGATTGTAATTATTTTTATATAGTAAATATTTGCCTTTTTCCAAAATGATATGTTTTGTACCAAACTCAAACATGCTTTTCTTTACTTTTTTTTATGTTACATATAAGTTTTGTTTTCTCATAAAGTTCATTATCATTTTAATAAATTTAGTTTCACTTTCTAATTTTGTAAAGATTTTTATGTAATTAATATTTTATAAGTTAATTTATAAATATATTTTTCATATTTTTTGATCAAATCATTTAATTATACCCTATATAGAAGAATTAAATTGTTATCTTGATACCACATTCAATTCCTATTATTTTTTATTGTTGTCATTTTGATAATTTTAAACAAAATTGTATTGAAACTTATGTGAAACCAAATATGGTGATCTAATTCTTAATGATTAATAATTATTAACTAAAAAATGGCTGTTTTATTTCACTCGTGATAAGATTTCTGTGGTGATAAGATCACCATTATAATCTTGAAAATGATACCATAAGCTACCATAAATTAATTTCATGCTTTCTAATTCTATCCTATTTTTTTTCCAAATTAGAGCAATAATATAAGCACTAGAAACACATAATTAGTAAGTTCTAATCGTTTTGATTTATGACAAACAAAATCAGCTTTTAACGAATTGCGTTAACCATGGTACTGATTTGACAAAAATAACTTCAAACCATTATCTATTACGAGTTCTGGCTTATCACTTATGGTAATGAATATATGATGTTTATAATAAATAAATTATTTAAAAATTATTTATTTTTATAATTTAGTTGAGATTTTTTTTTCTTTTAAGGCAGGTATGACTAGTTTTTTAAGCCGATTTACATTGGGACATGTATTACATCCTTTTTCTTGTTTTGTATTTAATTAAATTAAAAATGTTCAAGAATCGAGTTTTTGTCACAGGTCATTAGCCAAGCTTGATTTAAGAGGCTTGTGTTAAAGATTTTAGACCCGAGCTTTAACTCATCTTGCCTCCGTTATATTATTTTATTAATGTATGATATATATTATATGTAATTTTAATTTTATAAAATATACTATAAAAATGATTTAATATTTTAATAATAAAAATATTGTGATTTGGCTGGGCGGATGCAGGACCGAGTTTGACTTTTTCGGAATGGGCTGGAATCAACTACATTTACACCTAATTAGAGTTTACATGGTAACGAACGCATGAAATCCTTTTTTCTCATTTTTAATGTAAAAAGCATTTTACTTTTTACTCCGAGGACTCAAGCGTCTTTCCGTAGGAGGGAGCCCCACAAAGAAAAGAGTAAAATAGTCAAACAAAAAAATGGATATGGTCCGCAAATTGGAGGAGATTTTGGGAGATATTTTGGGTGCAGAGCAAAAGGCAAATGAAACTCGAATGACCATCCAATAAGCAGAGCGTGCAAAACACCATTTCGCGAGGACAGGCGCGTGGGGAGCATCGCAGAGAGAACGAAGCGGGTGACATGAGATAAGGTCAGATGACATGTGAACCACCATTTTGCCAGCCAAGCAGCCAACGCCCGCAGCAGCAACAGCGTTGAGCCTTTTGCCTTCTTCCCTCTTATTTGATGCTTGCTTAATTCAGAGTTTAAGAATCTCCATTGGTCCTCTCTATCTCTCCAATTAATGAAGATTAGCTTTACCTGTGCCTAGTAGTTACAAAGTCGTTACTAACATTTGCTGGAAGATGCACCTTTTTTCTAAATTTTTAAATTTTTTTATTTAGAAAATAAATTCAAATTATTTTTTAAAACAAAAATCATACGACAATGACTGAAATGTTCAAATATAATACTTGACCATATTTAAAATTTAATCAATGCATGGACCTACCATTAAAAAACAATTTCTCATGACTAATTTGATTTATCATTTCAATTTATGTCTAATTTGCCAACATCAACATCGAACTTAAAGCCAACATTGATGGATAAATTACAATACTGAATTATAAAATATATATATGAAAAATGTTTTTAAAAAGAATCACATATTAATTTGAAAAAATAATAAAAAGATTAAATCTTAAAATGAAACAAGTCAATAAACGTCATATCCTAAGATAAATAGGTCACACCTTATCGTGCATTAACTCCTATTAAGAAGTACCAACCACAACTATATGAACTTTAAAGTGTATTTTTAATTATCATGTATGTGAAGGTGGATAGAGAAAATCTAATATTGCTTAGGTTTAAAGCTTCAAATTTGACCCACTTATTATGATTTCAAGGAAGGAGATCCGTCATTGTAGATGTTCAAGTTTTTTACTAAGTTAAAAATTATGCATTTAATTTCTGTATTTTATTAAAATATTAGATTTAACTCTATACAATAATTCATATAAATCAAGTTTATATATTTTTAAAATTTATTAATGTAATTTCAGATTTTAAGGATGTTAAAATTCCTCAATTAAGGTTGATAATATGACATTTGACTAAGTTGATGTGACGTTAATTAAATTGATGCGATTTTTTTTTTTGTTAATATGAGGTTATCCATTTGTTGATGAGACAATGATGATGTGGGAGTTGATTAGTGCTAACGTGGCATTGATTATTAGTTATGTGGTGATGACCAATGCCGGTGTAACATTGATCAATTCTGATGTGTGAATTTATGTTTTGGATTGATATTAACAAATTTAAAAAATAAATAGATTTAATTTATACAAATTATTATACAAAAATTAAATCTAATATTTTGATAAAGTATAGATATGAAATGCATAATTTCATCAAGAAACAATAAGTGAAGGAAGACGCAACAATTACTTGTGGTCAACTATTTCATTCTCTCCAATAAAAGAAAAGAAATCTATGAAAGCGGTAAGCAAGGGTAGACCTACCTTAGAGGGAGTGGTGTCACATAACACCACTCATTTACCAAAATTGTTTACTTGTTATGCTATTAATTTAGAGTTTTATATAGTTAATATAGTAATGAATTTATTAATTTTTCTACAATTTTGTAAGGAGTGGGATCAAAGATTTCAAGTGAAAATAGATTTATCAAAATGTAATTTATATATTAATATATAAATACTATATGAAAAGATAAAAATTTCCTTCTATAACTTCTAGTCCAAAAATTCAAGTCCTATTCTTCTCAATCCTTACTGTGTTTTTCACTCTCTTAAAACAACTTATCTAGACTTTAATTGTAAGTAATTTTCAATCCAAATTAAGTTCTAAAATACATCATTTCTAAATAATTTTTATTAATTTGATAATTTGGATTCAAAATTATAATCTAACTAATAGACAATAATTTTGCATGTCAAATAATATCTTGAAGTTATGAGCCTTTCTTTTTTTTTATTTTGTAAATATATTGTTTCATTATTTGATTTTTACATTTAACCTTTTGTGATTTGTGGATGCTTATACTTAGTTTCGATCAATGAATAGAAATTTGTTAAATTGTCAGTTGTTGAACTAGATAATTTTGCATATATTTTATTTAATTCCAATAATTTAGTCTATACTAATGAGAAATGAGTAGTATTTTTTAACATGT